GTTAAAAGCCATTAAAGAAGGAATTGATCTATTTCTACATTCGGACTGGGCGTCGAAGGGAAGACTTATTCTCGAAAGTGATTGTAAGACTGCAGTGGATTGGATTTTCAGGCCTACTGAGGCTCCTTCGTTCTTCAGTTCTTTGGTTCGGGAAATTGGGGATGTAATTTCGGGTAGGGATATTATGGTTAGGTTGATTCCTAGGGCTTGTAATTGGGAGGCGGACAAGTTAGCTAAGGAGGGGATAGGCTGAATGTCCTTACTGTTAGCGGTTATGTTTGGTATTCTAATTCGGGTGATTTTGTAAGTTATAGTTTTATGTAATTCGGGTTTACTAATATATTGAGGTACTCTTTTCCTCCTTCCGCTAGTTGCCTCTTATCAAGAGGCAACTATGAGGGAGGTTTTTAATGAGACCTCCTATTCCTATCAAAAAAAAAAGGAAGTAATGTGTAAGGCTCCAGTTTTGGCTCTTCCTGATTTTACTAAAGAATTTTGTTTAGAAACTGATGCAAGCTCAGAAGGTATTGGGGCTGTTTTATCCCAAGGAGGTCGTCCTTTAGCCTATCTTAGCAAAGCTTTAGGCCCTAAAAACGTAGACCTTTCTATTTATGAGAAGGAATATTTGGCTATTCTTTTGGCAGTTTCGAAATGGCGACAATATCTTGAGTGTGGTCCGTTTATCATTAAAACAGACCATGAGCCTTTGAAGTATTTGTTAGAGCAGAAACTCACGACAACAATTCAGAAGAAAGGATTGACTAAATTGTTGGGTTTGGACTACAAAATTCAATATCGAAAAGGGCGTAATAATGTTGTGGCTGATGCTTTGTCAAGACAATTTGTGCAGGTGGGTGAGTGTCGAAGGATGGGTGCCATGATTATAATTCCGGCTTGGGTTAAGGACATTGAGCAAAGCTATGAAAATGATGCTGATGCTAAAGAATACATTCGAGCAGTAACTATTAACACTGCTAGTGTTCCAAATTGGAAGTATTCAAAAGGGGTGTTGCGTTACAAAAATAGAGTTTATGTGGGAAAGTCCGGTGATTTACGATTGCAGATTTTACATGATTCTCCTCATGGAGGGCATTCGGGTATTCAGGCTACATACCAGCGGGTGAAATCTTATTTTTATTGGCCTAAACTTAAAACCATGGTCTCTACTTATGTACAGAAATGTGAAGTCTGCCAACGCAATAAGGTGGAGCATGTGGCTAAACCTGGGCTGCTACAACCAATTCCAATTCCTCAACAAGCATGGGAGGTGATAACTATGGATTTTATTGGAGGTTTACCTAATTCTTTGCATAAGAATTGCATTTTAGTAGTAGTGGATAAATTGACTAAATATGCTCATTTTTTAGCACTTTCTCATCCCTACACTGTTATGGAAGTAGCTAAATTATATTTAGATCAAGTTTATAAGCTTCATGGTCAGCCTAAGATGGCATTTTCAGATCGTGACAGGACCTTCACTAGTCTTTTTTGGAAAGAACTAATGAAGCAGTTGGGAACCAGCACACTCTTTAGCACAGCTTACCATCCCGAGACGGATGGTCAAACTGAGAGAGTGAATCAATGTCTTGAGCAGTACTTAAGGGGTTTGTGTTTCCTAAAACCTACTCAATGGGCAAGATGGTTACCTCATGCTGAATGGTGGTACAATACAAACTATCATACAGCACTTAAAATTACCCCTTTTGAGGCACTCTATGGATATAAACCTCCTACAATGTTATGGTGTTCTGAATCTAATGTTAACAATGTTCAGACGTTATTACAAGACAGAGAGCAGATCAGGCAAATTGTTAGAGACCAGTTACAGCAAGCCCAGAACCGTATGAAACAGCAAGCTGATAAAAATCGTAGTGAAAGAACATTTGATGTGGGAGAAGAGGTGTACCTGAAACTGCAACCATATCGGCAGACTTCCCTGGCAATCAGAAAAAATTTGAAGTTAGCAGCCCGTTTTTATGGCCCTTACAAAATTCTTGAAAAGATTGGTGAGGTTGCTTATAAATTAGACTTACCAGAAACTACTCAAATACACCTTGTTTTCCATGTCAGTCTCTTGAAGCGGAAACTGGGAGAGAAGACGGTGGCTTCATCAGACCCTCCTCAGGTAATAGATGATGGACAACTTAAAGTATTTCCTGCGAAAATTTTAAGCAAACGAATTATCAAATGAGATAACCGTGCTGTTACTCAATTATTGGTTCGTTGGACGAATTTAAGTGCTGAAAATGATACCTGGGAAGATTATACAGTCTTGTGTGCCCAGTTTCCTGAATTCGATCCCTGGGGACAAGGATCTGCTGATTAAGGGGGTATTGTCACAGTTGCAAGAGAAGACCAGGACGAGGAGATTAGAATTGAAGCGAGGAAATTGGGGGAAATGGACGAGGAATTAGGGATTGAGAGAAAAGAGATCAGGGAATTAGGGATTTCAATCTCTAATGAGAGGGCTGAAGGAAATTACCTGGAGAGGCAACAGAAGAAGAGTTGGGCAGAGGAGATGGGCTCAGACGTGGATCCAGTTATCAACCCAAAGGAGGAAAATATTCAGCTGCAAGGAGTTTGTTAGAGAATTAGTTATACAGCTGTCCTCTTTCTATTTGCTATAGTACATTGTAATCAAATAAAACTGTGTACTAAGGAATGAAAAAGATACCTGATGAATGAATGAAATTCTGATTTCTGAAATCTCCCTGCTTTTCTTCTTCTAAAATCTTTATTCCTTCGATTTTTCCTTTTCTATTCTCTTCAGTTCATAACATTATCTTAGGGGCTTTTTGTTTGAAGATGTAAGATTTTTAAGTGATATGGTTTGTAATGGTGTATATTCCCATATGAGGGATCAGTGTTACCACATGTACTTGGTCTATTATTTAATAAAATATGAGGCATTCTTTTCTTCCTTTTTATGTTCTTCAACATACTTCTTAGTATGTGGAAGAATACGAAGGGAGCCTTTAATGAGACCTCCAACTTCTATAAAAAAAAAATGCTTTATCTCCTTCTGATTTTGAATTTCCCATTGCTATTAGAAAAGGAAAAAGAACTTGCACCAACAAACATCCTACCTATATGTTTTTTACCTCCAAAGAACTATCCCCCAATCACAGAACCTTCCTTACTAGCCTAAATGACATTGATATTACTAAAACAGTATCTAAGGCATTAGAAAATGAGAACTGGAAAAAGGCTATGAAAGAGGAAATGGAGGCGCTGGAGAAGAATAACACATGGGATTTAGTGAAGCAGTCGGAAGGGAAAAAACTGTGGGATGCAAATGGGTATTTTTGTCAAGTATAAATCATATGGTTCTTTAGAAAGGTACAAAGCAAGATTTGTGGCAAATGGGTACTCTCAAACCTATAGAATTGTACAGTGAGGGTCCTATTGTCCTTGACAGCTATTTAGGGATGGAATTTGCAATAGTTTGACATCAAGAATGCCTTTTTGCATGGGGACCTTGAAGAAGAAGTTTACATGAATATTCTACTCGGATTTAGTTCGAATACTGGACAGGCAGTGTGTAAATTAAGAAAAGCTCTTTTTGGACTAAAACAATCCCCGAAAGCTTGGTTTGGGAGATTTACTAAAGTAATGCTAAAACAAGGTTTCAAACAGACTCAAGGTGATCATTCTCTGTTTGCAAAATACTCTCCTTCACGGGAGTAACTACACTGTTGGTGTATGTAGATGATATAATTTTTATAGGTAATGATTATGAAGGAATTGGTAATTTAAAGAAGTGTCTTGTAAAAGAGTTTGAAGTGAAGGACCTTGGAAGATTAAAATACTTCCTTGGTATTGAGGTGGCTCACTCACAACAAAGGATTTTAATATCTCAGTAGAAGTATACTTTGGACATGTTGAAGGAAACTGAAAAACTAGGATGTAAACAAGCAGAAACTCCTATAGAAGTCAATCACAAGCTTGGAGACTCAAAGGAGGATGATATGGCAGTTGACAGAAGTTTTTTTCAAAGATTTGTGGGAAAACTTATCTATTTTTCAGACACCAGACCAGACATAGCATATGTTGTTGGGGTTGCGAGCCAAATCACGCACAATCCCAAGGAATCACACCTAAGGGATGTAGTACATATTTTGCAGTACTTGAAGGGTACACCAGGCAAAGGAATTCTATTTAGAAGAGGGGGGGAACTTGACTCTGGAAGCATACATGGATGCAGATTATGCATGATCCATAATTGATAGAAAGTCAACCTCAGACTATTGCACTTTCTTTGGAGGAAACTTAGTTACTTGGAGAAGCAAAAAACAAAATGTGATGGTTAGATCAAGTGCAGTAGCGGAATTTCGAGCTATGGCATTGGGAATTTGTGAGTTATTTTGGTTGAAGATTATTTTAGAAGACTTGAAAGTAAAGTAGAATGGACCAATGAAACTCTATTGTGATAACAAGTCAGCAATCAACATTGCTCATAATCCAGTTCAACATGACAGAACAAAACATGTTGAAGTGGATAGACATTTCATAAAAGAGAAATTTGACAGTGGCCTGATCTGTACTCCCTATGTAACCACTGGTGATTAAGTTGCAGATATACTTACCAAGGGTCTACCTGGTAAGTATTTTCAGAAGTTAATAGGCAAGCCGAGGATGGAAGATATCCATGCTCCCAGCTTGAGTTGGAGTGTCAGAGATTAGTTACCTAAGTCAAGAAGATTGAGTCGGATTTGTAAATATTCTATTTAGTTAGTATCTCTAAATCTAAGGGATTCTTTTTATTACTAGAATTAGTCTCTTACCTAGTTTAGAAGTTACCTAAGATAAAGCCTAGGCTTGTATATATAATTGTAAGTTTCCTACACATTCAATATGAGTGAATCACAGTAAAATTCATGGCTTTTGTCACTATGCATGGTGAAAACTGCGTAAAATTGATGATAACTTAGTTTTGAAGGTGCTATTATATCTATGCTATGAGCTGCAGCTCAAAGTTTTTGTTGCTCTCTTTTACGCAGCCAATTGATTTGAATATTGATGAGGATACTTTGATGAAAATCGTCTCATTTTGGAGAACCTCTCTTAGTGACTCAAATTCAAGTCAGCAGTTTTATTTTGATAATTTTGAGATCCACCCAATAAAGGTACTATATTTTTGTTTCTGTTACTTGTTGATAATTGTCTTAAACAACCACATTAGTTTTAATCTATCCTGCACTTACAGATTATTGCAACCTTTATTCCTGGGGAGTCCTATTCTAGCTATAATTCAGCCCAGGAAGCTTTGAGAACGTTGATACATAGTGTGGTAAAGGTGTGACTTGTGTGCTGTGCTCTTCTGAATATATGCTAACTGATTTAGTCATTGTTTTGGTGTCATCTTGAGTAAGCTCATTTACATTTTTTTTCTTGTATTCTTTTCATTTGCTTCTATAGGTTCCTCCTATAAAAAAGGTGGTCGTGGAGCTAAATGGTGTCTCGGTTACTCATGCTCTAGTAACAATTCGTGAATTGCTAATAAGATGTGCACAACATTATTCATGGTAAGATCTGCGTTTATTTTTTGCTTGTTTTGTGACTGTGGTAACCTCACTTGCAGAATCTTATAATTAACCAGGTATGCCATGAGGTCAATTTCCATTGCTAAAGGTAGTGAACTACTGCCCCCAGGTTTTGCGTCAATCTTTGACGACTTGGCTTCATCCTCCCTTGATATCTTTTTTGATCCTTCTCAAGGCTTGATGAATCTTCCTGGTTTCAAATCGGGTATGTTCTCTGTGGTTTATTCACATTCAAGTCTTCCTTGCCTGTATTGGTTTACCTTGGAGTTAATAATGGCATCTATGATATCTTTTTTTTGTATTCTCCATTGTTTGGGCATATAAGAGGATGAGGATCACCAGATTGTAGGGTATACACTACTTTGTTGAAACTGGAGGTGGGAATTTCCTTTTTGAGTTTGGGATTGTAAGGGTTAAGAGGAATATAAAAGGTCCATAGTTTAGTCTAGGGTACTTTCCTTTTCAAGGAACTGGTCATGGTAGTTTGAGTATATTGTGTGATTAAGTTCAGGTTCTAGTTTCACATATATATTTATTTTAGTCACATATTACCAAAGATAGCATCATAAACTAAACCTACCTTGTCTTGATTTTATTTTTTCTTTGTTCATTGTCCACAGGAACCTTTAAATTTATCAGTAAATGTATTAATGGTAAAGGTTTCTCTGGAACAAAACGCTACTTTGGTGATCTGGGTAAAACAGTAAGTTGTATAAACCTTCAACTAGGAATATTATTTTTTCTGTTTTCTTAGCACTTACCTATGTTATTTCTATTCCAACACTGCAGCTGAAAACAGCGGGGTCTAATGTAATTTTTGCGGCTGTTACTGAAATATCTGACTCTGTTCTGAAGGGGGCAGAAGCAAGTGGTTTCAATGGGATGGTACCAGTCGATATCATTTCACATTTGTTTGAATCTAGTTTATTTTCTAGCTATTGTTAAGGATGACTGTAAAAAGTGACGGTTGACTGTTTATTCTCAAGGTGAGTGGATTTCACCAAGGAATATTAAAATTGGCTATGGAGCCATCGGTCTTGGGTACAGCTTTGATGGGGGGTGGGCCAGACAGAAAAATAAAGCTTGACAGAAGCCCTGGGGTTGATGAGGTAACATCTTTTTTTTCTCTAATCCTATTATCTTTTTTTGATAGGAATAGAAGGCCTCATTAAAAACCTCCCTCATAGTTGTCTCTATTAAGGAGACAAGTAGCAGAAGGAGGAAAAAAGTGCCTTAGTATATTAATAACCAACAATTACATAAGAACCAAACATTACAAATAATTGCCAATTCAAAGAAACAACCAAAGAAACCAAAAGCACAGCTCCTAACAATATCCTCCACAGTCACTAACCAATTCCTGACTTAGCTAGACAATCAGCTTCCACATTCATACCTCTGCTGATATGCTTAATAATAACATTATAAAGCACCACTGACTTCTGAATTTCTGAAATAAAATCAACAAGGTGAACCGGGCAAAGATCCGGGCTGTTGATCCACTTAACTGCAAGAAGCGAGTCACTTTCTAAAATAAGATTTCCTTTGTCCCTCCAAACTGAATCAAAAAACACATCTACCCCGGTTTTGATTGCATAAATCTCTGCAAGAATAGGAGAACAAGGTCCTAAGGCTGTAGAGAAGGAAACCAACTTGTTATTACCAGCATCTTTAAGAACTCCACCAATACCACTCTTTTTCCAGTCAAAGTTGACAGCCCCATCAACATTCATCTTAAAGTAACCGGAAGGAGGGGGACATCATTTTAATCTTGACAGTCGAAAGTTAGAACGGGATTTATTCATATCCGCCAAAGTAAGATCACCCACAAGGCTATCCATATGAATAGACAAATCCTTGTTTTTTTGCTAAAAACCATGATGCCACCCTATACCTCACCAAAAAAAATAGATTTTCTTTGTCCATCTTGCCTTCTCAAATACAATTTGGTTCCGGCACAGCCAAACAGACCACAAAACAGCTCCTGGAATAAATCTCCAAATACCCGAGTAAGGTCTAAGTTGCAACCATGAAAGCAAGAAGCCTTTCGGATTATTAGGGAGAACTGAAAAAACTTTCCACAGACGGAGTAGTTTTGCCCAAATCTGCCAAACCTGGACGCAGGAAAAAAATAAGTGACTGACTGATTCCGATTCCTCACCACAGAACACACAAAGCGGGTTTTCGATATCTTTAACTCCTCTTCTCAATAAAGCAGCTTTGGCAGCCAACTTCTGATGAATAACTTGCCATAGGAAAATCTCTACCTTTGGTGGAACTAAATCCTTCCACACAATCTCAAACAAAGAATTGTCAGATTCTGCTAAACTTGAAAATAGTCTTGAGCACGAATTAACCGAGAACTCACCATCCCCACTACCTTTCCACGCAACACGGTCTTCACCCTGCAGTAGAGGGCGAAAATTATCCAGCAAAACCATCAGTTCCATCCAATGTTCAAACTCACTATCCATTAAATTCCTCCTAAGTTGAAAATCCCATACCCACTCCCCATTCAATATACACCCAAATTCAGTCACAACACCTTCCTTATTAACAGACAGAGCAAAGATTCTAGGAAACAAAGTCTTCAAAGAAACATTAGAAATCCAAGAATCATGCCAAAATCTGATAGACTCTCCTTTACCCACCTGAAGCACGAGATTATTTCGAAGGCATAAACCAAAAGAGTCATTAGACCAATAGTTATTTAAAACACATTTCCAAATCCAAGACACATTAGAGGGCAGTTTATCATCTAACAAGAGTCCTTCTCTGTACCAAATTTCCAAACCCACTTGCCCAATAAAGCTCTATTTCGTAACTTTAGATCCGAAATTCCCAATCCCCCCAACTCTTTATTTTTACAGACAGTATTCCAGTTAACCCAATGGAGCCTTTTCTTCACAGCCGATGAACCCCACAAGAAGTTGGCCATAATAGATTCCAGTTTCTTCCTCACAACCACTGGCATTTTGAAAAGTGACATATAGTAATTAGGGAGAGCATTCAAGACTGATTTTATCAAGACTGTCCTTCCTGCTATTGATAAAGAAGACAGTTTCCAGCCTGTCAATTTCTGGTAGAACTTATTTACAATCGGATCCCATAGTTGAATAGAATTCCTCTTAGCACCCAAAGGTAACCCCAAGTATTCTGCCGGAAAAGAACCTCTTAAACAACCAATAGAATCTGCCCATTCCCCAACAATGTTATCTTGTAAATTGAGACCAAAAATTCTGCTTTTCAACAAATTCAGCTGCAGCCCTGTACACATCTCAAAAATAACCAAAACCCTCTTCAAATTTGCCAATTGAAGCTTTACAAAAAATAATCAAGTCATCCGCAAATTGTAAATGGGACAGCATCGACGAAGAATTATCAAAACCTAAATTAAAGCCCTCAAACAGCCCCAATGCTACTGCTTTAGACAATAGTAAATTCATAAATTCACCCACTATATTAAACAGAAGCGGGGATAGAGAACACCCTTGTCTCAGCCCCTAGATATTTTAAAACTTTCAGTTGGGGAGCCATTGACAAGAATTGAAATAGAAGTTGAACTTAAGCAATTATGGATCCACGACCTCCATCTTCTGCTAAACCCCATACACTCCATAACTTTGATTAAAAAATTCCAATCAACAGTGTCGTAAGCCCTCTTGAAATCCACTTTGAAGACGAGACCTTCCCTTCCTTTCCTCCTCCAAAAATCGATTGCTTCATTAGCAATTAAGGAGCAGTCACAAATCTGCCTTCCCGGGATGAAAGCAAATTGAGATTGACCAAAATTTCTTGAAAAATCCCATATTCAATCCGTCAGGACCCGGAGCTTTATTACTATCCGACGAATGTATTACCTCCCAAACTTCCTCCTCCGAAAAATTCATATCTAATTGAGCAACTTGACCCTCCGAAAGTTTAGAAAAATTCAAATCCATCTTCACAACTCCAACTGTCGGAATGGCATTGTAAGCATTCTTGAAAAAATAAAAAATAGCAGCTTTTATCCTTATCGGATCCTCAATCAAATTCCCACTCACATCCAAAGAATTAAGAGCATTCACCCTCCCTCTATTTGTAGCACATTGATGAAAATACCTTGAATTTCTATCTCCATCCATAATCCACTGCGCCCTTGATTTTTGAAACCAAACTAATTCTTTTTTTTTATACAATGACCATAATTCACTTTTTTCTTTTGCATCATCCACCATAGAAACGGAAGGAATCCTTTGTTGTAATTGAGCTTCTTGATTCGAAATTAGTCTCTCTTTGCTTTCAATCAAACTTTGTAATTGCAATCTGCTTCCATTAGACCAATTCATGATTTCTGTCTTAGAAACTCTAAGTAACTCCTCAATGTTCAGCCTCTTCCTACTCTTAGCTTCTGAAATTTTCTTTTCCACAGCTTCCTTAAAACCCTCCTCCTCCATAATGTAATTGAACAGTTTGAAGGGTTTCGGACCCCAATTAATCTTATTGGAATCCAATGCCACAGCATTATGATCTGAAATTGACTTAGGTAATAGCATCTGAACAACATCCGGGAATAAGCCTAAGAAATCTGCAGAAACTAAGAACCTATCCAACCTCACAAATGTAGGATCTTCCCTGTTACTACCCCAAGTGAAACTTCCTCCCACCAAAGGCAGATCAATTAAACTTGTATGGAATAGAAACTCCCTGAACCATCCCATTGAATTTTCATTCAGAGATTTCCCCATCTTTTCTTCCTGTGACAAGTGAGCATTAAAATCTCCAGCAACACATAAAGGGCACCCCAATGAAGAAATAAAACTGGATAATTCCTCAAAAAACTCTTCTTTATCAGCTTCGCCAGAGGGCCCGTAAACATTAATAAAACAACACACCTCTTGGTTATCCTTTACTATACCCTTCAAAGCTATAAACATTTGTGAAATTTTCACCAACTGAGGTAAAAACCAATCCTCATCCCAAAGAGTAACCAATCCTCCTGATGCACCCACGGCCGGAGAATCCACCAACCCACCTAGAATTTTACCCCCCAACTTCCTCCTCAAGCCTACACGAACCACCTCCAATTTCGTTTCTTGCAAAAAAAGAAACGACGATTTCTTATTAACAACCACCTTCCTCACTGCCCTAGCCTTTTCCTTCCTACCTAATCCTCTAATATTCCAAGTGACACAAGAAACACGAACCATAAAAATAAAATTAAAAGCCTTCAACCAATAATAAGGGTTAATACCCACCCTTCTCCCCCTAACCGAATTAGACTCCGAAAACTTCTCAGCAAAAGCTTTCTTACCCCCCTCAAAATTAACACCTAACATTTGGCTAACCTGCCAAGTTACTTCCATTTCATCATTATCAATCGAAAAATCAACTCCTGCAAAACCCTTATCCGATTCAACTCTTTTAATCTTCTTATTAGATCTGCTGTAAACTCTGTCACAGAAAATGGTAGCTACCTTAGGGGGTCGAACTCGATTTGTTGGAGGGGAAGAGGAACACCTCCTTGTAAGAACTTTACTAACTTGAAACCCATTTGTTTCAACCTGGACAGCAGGAAAATCAAGCTCTGAATCCTTCAAATCTGTCTGCTGAGTACCTCCACATTCCCTTCTAGCATTAACTAATTCATCTGGTTTGTAACCACCTCTATTTGAACTTGGACTACCATGAATAGGCTCAAAATCTTCTACCCTACCCACAGAACCAATGAGCCCGTTAACTTGGTCAACATTGTCAAGCCCCAAAGAGACCTCACCCCTGTTAACCACCCACTCTCTCTCATCTGTACCAGCCCCCAACTTTTCCTGCTGACCCTGATCATCATCAAAAACTGTCTCCTCTGCACAAACATCAACTGCCACTACATTTTGAAAACCCCCTTCTCCCTCCAACCTCCCCTCGAAAAATGTGCGCTCCCCTTGAGATGAGTCCAATGCCCATGCTTGTACACTGTTATGGTTGTCTGCCAACGCCTGCTCACTCAGCCTCCCTTCCTGCTCATTGATGTCAACACCAAGGCTCTCTTCCGGCGAGTTCACCCCATTGTTTACTGTTCCGTCTTCAACCATATCCTCTAGCTCCGGAAAAAAATCTTCACTTCCTTCCACCCTAATCTTGATCAAGAACGATCTCCCATACGTATTAATATTGATATAGGGAGGAATATCAAAAGGACTTTCAACCCTCAACAACATATGGGCTACTCTACAATCCACTTTCTTAGCAGTTTGTTCTTGTATCTTAACTAGTTTGCCCCATTTCGATGCCAAGCTAGTGAAAAAAGGAACTGACCAACAATTTGGAGGAACACCAATCATAGAAATTTGACAGTAAGGTAATGGAATTCCTTTATCTTCCATAACTTGCTCCAACCTATCGAACCAAAAGGACAAGGCCTCCCACTTGTTTTCCATCGTTGTGACTTTCTCCTCAACAGTCTGGAAAACTACCAGACAGGCGTTTTTTGCATATCCACATTTAAGCACTTTGACATTGATTCCCTCAGAACCTAACGCCCTCTGCACAAACTCAACTTCAAATATTGGCTTACAAATACCAGTTAAAGACGTTCTAAGCCATGACCTATCCTCCATTGGAATAAAAATTTCTCTCTGCTTCTTCCCTTCTCCCCTATTTCCAAAACTCCCCACTTTCTGGCCCTCAACTTCTTTTGTTCCGACAACCGAATCCTTAAAGGACCTTCCATCATAAAACTTATTCAACAACTCGTTCTTCTCTGCAACTTTCTTCCGCAACTTCTGCACCAGCAGCTGAAGAACTCCCCACATTAGTACGCTTAAAGCTCGCCGAAGTACTTTTCTTCTGATACTTAGCGATCGACACCAATATTTTCCTCCCATCGAACGATACGTTATTCATCTTTTCAACTGCAAGATGCAGATCATCTTTGCTCGCAAAATGCACAAAAGCAAACGTATTTTCCTTATAATAAGGTCTCCTATTGACGAATGGAATAAACACCTTTATCACCTTGCCACAATGACTAAAACGCTCCCATAATGCACTTCTATGCACACGCCTACTAAGATTATCCACGAAAGCAACCCACGAAACTCCTCCAGACAAAGAACTACCTTTGGCCGGACGGACACTACCCTTCGAACTCTCCCTCACTCTCTCTCTACCTTTCTCACCCATCTTTCCTCAATATACTTTTTACTCTAATCCTATTTCATATTGTCCTATTCAAGTCCCCTCTTTTTTACCATAATGAAAACTTATTTCATCAAATTGACAAATAATACTAAAGATATTGATACCTTGTAAAGAGAGTTAGAAAACCCAAAGAGACACGTGAAAACTACTGTTCAATTACATATGATGTTGAGACGATCTTCTGTCTGATTACGTCTGCAAGAATTCAGATTGTTTTAGCTTTGCCTCACCGTTGAAGGGCTGTGGACTTTTTCTGGACTTATTATAATCTAATTTGTTTTCTGCAGTTGTACATTGAAGGATACCTACAAGCTATGTTGGACTCGATGTATAGGCTAGAGTATCTTAGAGTGCGAGTGATTGATGACCAGGTAAATGGTTAATTGAGCCAACAAATTATCAGTACTGCTACATTATTTATTTATTTGAGATCTAGATAGCAGTGAATGGGACATCCAATTTATGTGGGTTGTTCAAAATTATAGTATCGCTTCAAACAAAATCTTCGTTCAAGTTTACCTCACTTTCAAGGACAAAATTTGCTGCCCATCTTCCCACCACACATTTTTTATAAGCTTCCCTTGCCAGTTTGAGTTTCGAATGTTATCTGACTGATGTATTCTATGTTTAGGTTTTCCTCAAAAATCTACCTCCTAACAGTTCCCTCATAAATGAAATCATGGATCGTGTAAAGGGGTTCCTTGTGAGCAAAGCATTGTTGAAAGGAGATCCTTCAGCAGCTTCTCGCTCTTTCCACAATTTTCCATGGGAAACTGTAAGTCTATCCATCCATTAATTTTTCTTGCTTTGAAAGGTGCCTGAACAATCCAAGTTGCTATTTCTGCTCGTTTCCTGTAGCACAAGATTTGTTAGTAAAATGACAAATGTAGATTAGAAATCTGTGTTAGGATGAAAGTTTTGATGCTGCAGTAACAAATGCTCGTACTTAGCAAACTCGTTCATTTAAAGCATCCGTACCCACACCTAACCATATTTATTTGTGACTTTGTGTTTTCCCATTTATATTGGTCTCAGCTTTGCTTTTTAAGTAGGCCTTTTACTGTCCTCGTCATCTGTTTGGCAACTGAAAATATTGTAAAAGCACATGTATGGAAGAAAAGACATTATCGGGAAAGGGGCACGTCCGTATGTGTACTCAGTTGTAAATGGATTGTACTGAAAATTGCTTTCTATTGCCACAATGGTTACACACATTTTAGCAAAAGCTTTACTTGAAGATAATTCTTATTTCAGGAATGGAGTTTTGGATCAACCATCATAACATTGTGTGAACACCTCTTTGTGAGTTTTGCAATCCGTAAATTAAGAAGTGAAGCGGATAAATATATTGCGATCATCAAACCAAAGAAAGAGCCAGAAAATGATGATAAGAAAGCGGTTGTTCCTGGAGACACAGGAGAAGTGCAGAGGGTAAGGTTTATATGGAAATGGGGAATTGTTAAATTTGTGCTTTCAGGTATCCTGGCATACGTTGACGGAAGATTATGTCGAAGTATCCCCAACCCTATAGCTCGCCGAATCGTGAGTGGCTTTCTGTTGAGTTTTCTCGACCAAAATAATGGTAGATGAACCCTGTAACATAGCTTAGCTAGGCCAGATAATCTTTTTTCCTTTTTGTATATAGCTCTATTTCTTTTAAAACCTTTTATGTATTATATTTGCATGTAATGTTTCGTACTGTGTTTGAAATAAGGTGATCATGAAATCATTCAGCCCATCAAAATGTTACGAGAGAAAATATATTGGAAGACGAGGAAATATTCAACTTCGCTAATATTCCATAACGCAACACAATGTTCCTGGAAAATCAGGTCTCGATGTAGTAAATCTTGTATTCTTTGTTGTGTTGATTTTAGTAGTCAGTTTTAAAACTTTAACATATTGATAAAATTTTAGAGTTTTAAATCGTGTGATTTTTAAATATACATTATAAAATTAAAATTTTTTAAAAAATACAATCTAGGTTTTAAAAAATTGATTATTGGGAGTTAATAAAAGATAATTTTAATAAAAGAAAATGCATCAATTTTTAACGTGAAATATCTAATGTAGTGTTAAATTTACGTGAGTGATGGACCGTCTACTTTTCTTTAATCTCCGACCATTGCTCGATTCAGAAGAATGTTAAAAGGTTTCTATGATCTGTCCCAGCCTAAGTTGTGAGATAATATAGTTTGGCGGAAAAGAAAATGCAGCAGATACTGAAGCAAAAGTTAAAGTCCGGCAATATTCTAAACATTGGCTTAGAAATCATTGAATCTTGTTTTAGCTGTTCCAACCTGTAGTACAGTTGAAGCCAATATGGTTTATGTAAAAGAGATTTGTGAGAGTGAATAGAAAAATAAAGCTTGTCAAATGGAATCTGTTCTCTCTAAATTATTTCGTATCATTAAATACTAGAGTTTGATAGAGAGACATTGAATTCAAGTTTGGAAAAGGATAGATGAGATTTTGTAAAAGAAAAAATAACGAGAGAAATATATTTTTGAGAATTTCAATCACTCTAAAAAGAAATTAGGGTAAACTGTGTACTTAGTCACTCAACTATCACTTTGATTATGTTTTCAATTTTTTCCTCAAAATAATCATTAATATTACATTTTTGTTTCATTTTGATTACCCGTTGTTAAAACATTAACAGAACCACAAATGTAACATTTTTAAAAGAAAATTCTGATGATGATATAATTATAACCCCCTCAGACCGATACGGGTAACCTGATCCGATATGGAGTGTCACATTAGGGCCACCGGAATGACCCGCTGTAAAAGTAGAGAAAAATTTAACTTTTTATTAAAACATGTAAATTATAAAATGATTTATCAGTATGCAGAAATAAAATAGATTTTCAAACACGTATATAAAACAAAATACAATTACATGCCCCCTAATTACATGTATTATACTCTGCAAACAATGTAACACCCCCAACCTGCACCCGACTCGGATCCGAGTCTGAGATGTCACATTGACTTTTCAAACTTTGACTATTGACAAACTTCAAAGAAAATTTAAAACTTTCATTAAAATAAAAGCGGTTTATTTACCTAAATCGACCAAAATCAATCAGAGCATATTCAACTCAATCAATTAGTACATGCCAACTATATTCAACATAACCAAACACATTTAAATTATCTATTTTCTTATCTGAAATCTTTGTAAGGGAGATGCTGACATGTTTTGCTCTTCTTCGCTTTTCTTCTTGCTTCTGTAACCTACGTGTGAAACAATCACATGCTAAGTCTATGACTTTGTGAGACAATAAACATATATGCAAACTTTAACTAATAATCATACATGAACAATTACTATTATCATTCATACAATTCATACACTCTTACCGGTAACAAATACATACATACGTATATGTCATAATTATTCATATATCTTATCTCAAGCTCCTATGATCTCTTATATTCATATAATTTATCTTGTAAACTTGTTACTATATCATCATGTAAATCAATTATAATCATTCACAGTAACATGTACTCATATATGTCCTATCATAAAACACATGAACAAAAGCAACTATATCATCATCTTCATGCTTATCACTATCATTGATTCCTTTTATCATATGATTCTGTAATTACCATTTGTACAATCATATATCACACATAACATTTCACTAGGAAACAACCATATCATTATATCAAGTTTATTAATATTATCTCTTATTTAGCCCATGATACACATGTGAGAACTAAAGATATGCGAGTACATAGAGGTTGTGCACTATACTGTCACCACAACTTGTATAATTCCCTCAAAGGGCACTGAATATTTGTCCCAAAGGACCACTGATTGTTCCGAAGAACCATTATGTCCCGAAGGACCACTGTTTGTCCCGAAGGACCACTGATAATCCCTCAAATCTTGGCATGCCAACTATACCCCTAGCTCTCATGTCACATAACATGGGCATTATCTTTTATACCATTACACATCTTCATATAGCCACATAGCTTTTCACATAACATTTCCATTTGCACATGTAATTACTTAATTTATTTTCACATAGCTCATGTTCCATATTTATATCTCATAAGCACGTAGCTCATATTACTTATATTCACATTACCAATTCACATAAGCTTATGTATTCACATGGATTATTTCTCATTGTATATCACATAGCTTCTATTCTTTCTCACGTAGTCACATAGATCCATGGCATGTAACAAAATCCAAATTGCATATGATCACGTAGATCATTTCTTAGATGTTCATGTAAACCTAAATATCATATCTTGTTCACATATAATCATATATACTTCATATAGTACATAGAAACACCTAGAACACTTTCACATAGCTTATATCAATTTTCGGAGTCCTTTCATATTACTTGATAACATATATCATATATGTATATAATAACTTCTATCATATCATCTACCTTATGCTCCATTTCTTTATATTCCCTTAGATTTCATAAATTATATTGTATTTCTAAACATATGTCATTTAATAGTATTTTATTTATGTATTAATTTAATCTATTTACTTAATTCAATTTCATATATTTATTATAACCTTTCCATATAACTCTATAGGTCTTTAGCCTATAACTTATCTTACATATTCGTATCATCCCTTTATATTTAAGTTTCCTACTTGATATACTATTCCCATTTCATTCTATAATTCAATCTTATTTAGTTCCCTTCACTCTCAATAAATCAAAAAGCTCTATTATACTAATTCTCATAGTAGATCATATCACTATGTACTTGTCCAACTCATGTTTCTATTATGCATATAACTGTTACACATGTTTACCTAGTTCTTATCACTTTTCACGAATTCACTTTCATCATATTTTCCTATTATTACATATTTTATCTCATAACCATGTATTCACATAGTCTTATATTTCATTATCATATGACTTATATTTGTTCTCCTATGACTCTTCGTGGACATCTATTTCCATTTCCATATATCACTTGACTTATCTTCTATATTCCTATAATTTCATAACTTATTTTATATTCTTTCATCAACACTTAATAGTGTTTTTACATAAACCATATAGCACAAACAAAAACATATCAATTCATATAATCAAACATACATACATTTCATATTAATTACATAATCATGTACTATACTATCGAAAATAGACTTATCGCAAGTCACTTTCCATATAATCCTATGTAATAAGATGCACTCACCTTGGCCTCACTAAGTTCCCATCCACTTTATGATTTCCTCTCTTTCGATCGAATCTTAACTTGATGATCGTTCCAGAACTGGTTCATGTTCAATATCTACATAATCATACATTGATACATATCAGTATCCCATTGATATACTCTAATTTATCATTTCTTAGACCAAAAGAAATGTCTATTTCAATTTCCCCTTGAAGTGCATCGATGCATTCTATCGTGTATCGATGCATCCCTTAACATGTGCATCGATGCACTCCTTATACATCGATGCACTAATTGCATTCGATGTTTCCATTTTTAAGGGGTGCATCGATGCACTTCCTGTGCATCGATACACACTGAACAATTTCTGGAAATTTACCCTTGATGCATCGGTACACATTGAATGTGCATCGATGCACATAGCCCAAAATTCCAATTTATACCCGAAAATCCACTTTTTTCAGCTTAATTACTTCATATATCATCCCCTTTCTTATTCTTAACTTGCATACTCATATTCAAACTCATTTCTATTCATTAATCACCTCTTTAACATCAAAATCCTATTCTCCATATGTAATTCAAGAATTACACTAAATTTTCAACATGTTCCAAATTCAATTCTATTACTTCTAACTTCTTAATTAAACCCTTGACAAGTCAAATTTGGTCTGGAAATCCCATAAATGACTTTCTACTAAAATCTCATTTATTCACTTCATTCCTTTAATCCTTCCTAACTCCTTTATCTTATGATTTTAAGATAACTTAAGCTTTCCTTAAGCTTAGTTATCATCGAATGATCATAACCCAACCTTAAATTTAACCAGAAATTATCTAAATAGAAAACTCACCTTTGAGCTTGGAGATACGGGAGGAGAGGAAGAAGAAGAAGTTCTGGAGAAATCTTTCCTTCCCACGTGGTTCCCTTATCTTATAAAGAGAAATAAAAATCTTCCTTGTCAAATGACCATTTTGCCCTTTAATTCCCTTAATAATTACTAGCAAATTTCTGGAAATATTTCTAGGTAAATCATTGAACTATTCAATTCTTCTACTTTAGTCACCAAGTTTTGAAACTTTACAATTTAGTCACTAACCCGACATTGAGGATGTTACAAATCTCCCCTCCTTTAAAGAAAATTCGTCCTCGAATTTTCACTGAACATATCAATAAGAACATATCTTCTAATGTTTTCATGCTACTTCCTTTACTTAATTTTTCCTTCCTGTATTTCTTCAATTATCTTTTTCCTTTATACATTTATCTACTGTCACTAGAGCTGGGTATATGGGTTAAGGCCCGCGGGCTACCCGTTTAACCCGCGACCCGTGCGGGCTTCGGGCCTCAAAAATTGAAGATCGTTTAAATTGCGGGCTTTTTAGCCCGGACCGTTAAACCCGCGGGTTTAATGGGTATAACCGCGGGATACCCGTTAAACCCGCGGAAGCCCGCTTAATTTAAAATTTATAAAATTTTAGAGAAAATAAACTTAAAGAATTTTATAGAAAAAGAAAATAAATTACCTATAAATATAATGTTACTTATAACTATTGTAGTTCTTAAATTTATTAGGGCATTTGTCATAATTTTACCGTTGCTTGATA